GTCCAGCCCCGTGTTTGCGGCGGCGGCGGCGGCGGCGGCGGCGGCGGACGAGGAGATGCTTGAGCCCGAATCGTGGATGGCGGCAAAGGGGGAGGGCGTCCTGGAGATCAAGTGCCCTTACAAGGCCAGCCCCGGCAAGCTGGGGCGGCTCAAGCTCAACGAGTACTACATGCACCAGGTGGCGGGGCGGTCGCTGTTGTTTGAGGTCCCCAGGCGTCGCCACAGCATCCAGCCAGCTGGGGAAGTCCTTGCGGTCATACATCGGATTGGCGGGCTCCCTGCTGGTTGGCTCTTACCTGCCGTTCATGCATGCATTTGGAGACAGCCAGCTGCCCGGCTGCTGGTGGCCGCGCAGGGCGAAGCCGCGGCTGCACTGGTCTTGCACGCGCGTCACAACCTGCTGCCGCGGAGTGCCGCAAACTCCGCTTTGACGCCTGTTCTGCTGCGAGGCTGCTGGCGACCCGCCCCGTAACCCTGTTTGACTCCCTGAACCCCGCAGGTCCAGACGCTGATGCAGATCCACGACCGTGAGTGGTGCAACCTGTTCTATTGGAGCGAGGAGCAGGGCAGCTGCATGGCGCACATCAAGCGGGACCGCGGCTACTGGGCGCTGCTGCACCAGGTGCGCCAGGGGCGCTCGCGCGCGCGCACTTGCCAGGCGCGGTCAAGGCCCCTGCATGGCCGCGGTCTGGCAGCGGCCGCATGACTGCCTGCTCAGGTGTGGGCGTTCGCAGTCATGCTTGTGGCGCAATCAGGCAGGGTTTCTGTCTGGCTTCTGTTGATCGTGTGTGTGACGGAGGGGCTGTGCCCTCAGCGTGACGCCGAATTCAAGCCTTTGCACAAGCGCACTGTCTGCGCCGGCAAATGGAAGGCTCGCCGCTCCTGTGGCTGACCATTAACGGAAGCCCCGCTGCCCGCCCCCGTGCTTCCAGGTGATGGCGGACTTCTGGTGGCGCCACGTCGTGCCGGCGCGCCTTGCGCTCATTTATGGCGGCGCGAGCGAGGAGGAGGTGCGGCGGCGCTACTGCCCCGACAACATCCACCCTTACGCAGCCCAGGTGAGGCGGGGCGCCCTGCACAAGCATGGATGTGCTGACTCGGGAGCTGCCCACCACTGTTTAAGACCTGGGGCGCCCACCCTGTCTGCAACAGTTGCACATGCGGCAAACTGAGGGGCCTCGCGCTGAGTGCAGAATACAGGGAGCCCCCCTCAAGAGCGCCTGCTCTCGGCATGCCCTCCACGGTGCCAGCCTTGGTCGCCCCTGCCCTCTCAGCAGTAGAGCGGCTCAACACCCCCATCTGCAGGCAATAAAGTCACCCTCATCCCTCACCCTGAACCCTGAACCTCATCGCCGCCGTCGTCGGATGTAGGTCCGCGCCCTCAGCCGGCGCATGCTGGAGGATGCGCCCAAGAGGTACTTCTCACCGGAGCAGACGCGCGGCGAGGAGGCCTGGGCCGGCATTGAGCAGCGCAAGCGGGACGCGCTCGCGGCGCTGCAGGGGAACGCCGGCAACGCGGCCGGCGCAGGGTCGGCGGCTGGGGTTGACGCGGGGGCACCAGGGGTGCCCGAGGTTGAGGTGTCGGAGGACGTTTTGGATCTTGCAGATCAGCTTGCTGGGGTGGCGGTCGCGGAGCTGCCGCCGCAGTAGCTGCACGACGCGAAATAGGCGTCTGTGTGTGAGGGTGAGAGAGGCCCTCAAGCCTGCGACCTGGCGTGCCACGGGTGTAACGAGTCGCCGGCTCTCGCTGCACGTGTGCAAGGGGCGTCCAGATGCAGATATGCCCGGAGCAGTGTGTGCAGATGGCGGGGCGCCGCTGTGCACTGCCCGTAGGCTGCATGCATACAGCCGTGTGGGGTGATGTGGACGAACTTCCTATAAGTAAGCTCAGCCATAAAGTCTGCAGCATGACTGAGTGCCCTTGCAAGTTGCAAGAAAAAGGGGATGGCAGCATAAGGACTCACACAGCGGCGCCCCTCCCCAGAAACAAGAAGCGCGATGCAAGTATCAATGATGGGACAAGCCAAGCTTGCCCACCGCCGTGCGCTCGCCTGGGACGCCCAGCGCCTGGGACGCCGTGCGCTGCGGCGTCCCAGGCGCTGGGTGGTGTGCAGGGGCGTCGGCCACCTGCCGGCCGCGTCCGCCGCGCGTGCGGGGTGCAGATCGCAGCACGCTGCTGTCCGGCGGCAAGGCGCTAGTACACTCTTGCGTACAGTCCCTGTATGTAACAAGTGACGTGCTGGAAAAACTCCAAAATAATTATGAAAAACATCACAAGTACTGCGCAAAAGCGCCATGGCCCTGGGAGAGCCGCCCCCCAGGCGCACGGCTGCGCACGCCCC